GGCCCTGGGTGGGGGAGCACCTGTTGGGGGCAGAGTTAGGATTAGGGTTAGCCTTAGAGACAAGGTTAGAGTGAGGGTTAGCAGTGGTCCGAAAACTCATCAGTTAACAGAGCCAAATATCAACAGTACAACGATTGAAATTTCTTTTGTGAGACAAATTTTTTAAACTTAAACTATATAGGTAGGTACATTGTTATAAACTTAATTAGGGTACTGCCAAGGCTTAGGAAGAGCCACACTCAAGGGGCCAAAGAGCCACATTGGCTCAGGAGCCGCAGTTTGCCGACCACAGGCATTAGGGAATATGGATAAGGTTAGGAATAGGGATAAGGTTAGGGTTAGGGTTAGGGATAAAGATAGGATTATGGTTACCATTAGGTTATGGTTAGGAATTTTCCCATGTGACACCCGGGAAGTGCCCCTCCTCTCTCCCTGCCCCTGAGGGTTTGGGGGTCCTGCCCCGGCTCTCCATGCTTCTTGCTGAGTTACCTTTGGGCCCGGGGGGTCCCGCCTTCCCAGGGACTCCAGATGGGCCTGGGTCTCCTGCAATTCAAACATGTCAGTGAGCAAACTCTGGGACCCAGCCCCTAGCACCCCAGGTTTGACCCTCGGGAACCAGAGGGAGGGGACCCGGACCCCAGCCCTCCTAGTCCCCGCCGTCAGTCAGAGGCCAGGACCTGGGACCTGGGGCCTTCCCAGGGGACCAGTCCCAAGTCCAGCTCTGCAATCATCCGGGGACCCTGGGCATTTCGATTGGCTGTGACTGCCTGGCCCGCTGTGGTCCCCCACTGGAGACAGGCCCCCCGGGCTCAGCTGGCACCAGGGAGGGCAGGGAGGACAGTCCAGCTGGGTCCCCCCGCAGCAGGTGCGTCATCATCAGGAGCCGTGATGGCCGCGCACACAGGCCCAGCAGCTCCGTGGGTGACCCGAGACCAGCTCACTCCCACGGGGACCCACACCCCAGTGGACCAAGCCCCAGGCCCCTCCTGAGACCTGTAGAGGACCCTGCCTTGTCGGGTCTCCCTGGGCAGGGACGAGGCCCAGATCTCCCTTACCCGGGCACTCACCTTTCCTGCCCTCGGCGCCTGCCTCTCCCTTGGGCCCCTGGGCCCCGGGCAGCCCCGGGCAGCCCCGGGCAGCCCCGGAGGATGGTGAGCTTGTCGGCCTCCAGCCCCAGCACCTTCACTTCTGCAGAGAAACGCGGGCGCCCGTCAGGGTGAGGACCTGGGTCGCTGCCCCCCCTGCCCCCCACCCCAAAGGACCTGCCACCGTGGGGACCCGGCCTGGCAGATGGCTGTGCCCGGGCCGCCTGCCTCAGCTGGAGGTCCAGACAGGAGGGGAGGCGGTCCCGCCTCTGCTGAGCCAGTGGTCGGTCCTCCTCCAGGTGATGGGCCCGGCCTCGGGGTCCTCCTGCCCCCGGGGAACCCCGTTCCGGGGCTGTGTGTCCTCGGGGAGTCCCTCAGCCCCTCTGGGCTCTGTGCCCGGCTGCAGAGTGAGAGCAGAGGGAGGCTTTGGGGGGTCAGAGTGGCTGATGCAAATGTGTGAGACCTTAGGAAGAGCTCCCCCCACTGCGGCCCGTCCAGTGAGTGCAGCCTCCGCATCTGTGTGACAGCGGGGGGCGGGGGCAGTGCCGCATGTCACCCCCATTCCTCGGGCACGTGGCCTGGGAATCCCAGGCTGGAGGGTGCGGAGGGTGGGGGTCCCTGTGATATGAGGACACACAGCAGCCCCCGCAGAACTGGAGCCAGAGATGCACCTGCCTCTCGGAGTTCAAGTGCGTCCATCACAAATACACGGCCTCTAGGGAGGGTGTGGGGACCCGGAAACCCGCTGCCTCACAGGGTCCCCTTGGGGTCACATGGTCCGAGGGCCTGTCCTCTGCAGGTCCTCCCTGCGCGGAGTCAATGGGGACCTCACTTCTGCATTCGCTTAATTTTTGCTCATTAACAACAGGGCACCTGGGGGTCGGGGACAATGAGAGGCCCTGGTGGAGCCTGGCCGGTCAGAGCGCCATCCAGGTCGCTGAGACTGTGGGCGCGATCGCCATCAGGGCGCGAGCAACGGGAACAGCAAATCCACGTCTCTCCCTCCCTCTCTCTCTGGCGAATGAATAAATTTTAAAAATTCTTTTGTTTTAAATGAAGAAAATAGGACGCCCTGAGGGGAGAACATGGACTCAGCGTGACGTTCCCCGTGAGGCCTGCGTGTCCTTCCTCCCGACTCAGCGGCCTTTCTCCTGTCACAGGGGGACATGCTCTCTCCCACCTCTTCACAGGCCGCACTGCAGGCCCCGGGGCCCTGGGAGGCAGCACCTGGTCCCGGGTCCCAGCCCCGCCCACAGCCATAGGCTCCGGAGGGAGGGGTGGAGCCCCCTGGAGAGCTCCTGGGCCAGGGAAGGAGGTCAGGCCCGTGGGAACCCTGGGACCCTGGCCCTCTTGCTCTGCCACCTCGGGGAGCAGTGGGGCCGCCTGTCCCCCGAGGCTCAAGGCCCCCAGCGCTGGGTGCGACCTTGCACTGACCCGGGCTGGGGGAGGGGGCGCTCTCCAGCCTCCCCCCCTCACACCACCTGTGCCCCTCGTGGGAGGACCCCGAGACAGGTGCCCCTGCAGAGGGTGGTTCAGCCTCAGTCAGAAGAAGAATGTTCTGGAAGGACCCGGCAGGGGGCAGGCAGTGGTCTGTGCAGAGGCCCTCGGCTCTGGGACCTTCGTCAGGCCGGCCCGCCGGGTGCCTGGCTCACCTGGACAGTTGTCGGCCATGGCGGCTGCAGTGCCCAGGAGGACCAGGGCCAGGACCACGGTTCCCATGGCAGCGGCTGCTCTGGGTGGTGGCATCCCGGGTCCCGCTGCCAAGGCGCTGGCACCTTTTATTGCTGCGTGAGCCCCGCCTCCGCTCTAGTTCCCTCCTGGCCGGGCCACTTCCTCCCCAGCTCCAGGGGATGGTCCCCCCACCACGCCCTCAGCCCTCCCTCTGCAGTGGCCCCCTTCCCCTCAGTGGGACCAGATGCCCCTCGTGGGGAGGGCTGTGTGGGGAGGGCCTGTGTGTGTCTTTATTATTTTTATTAAAGATGTATTTTTATTGATTTTGGGGACGAAAGGACGGAGAGAGAGACAAACTGCTGATGAGAGAGAATCAAATCCGCCCTGGGATCCAGCCCCCAACCCGCCCATGTGCCCTTGACCAGGATTGAACCTGGGACCCTTCGGTGGGCAGGCTGGCACTCTATCCACTGAGCCACACCGGCCAGGGCTGCCTGCTTGTGTCCTTAGAGAAAGCCCAGGAGCCCCCACTCATCACCCAGCTCTGCCCAGGGGGACCCCCCTGAGGGACCCCTAGGACGGCAGGGGTGGCTGGGGAGGAACTGACTTGCATGCCATGGGCTGTGGGTCTCCAGAGGGTTAGAGACTCCCTGGGGTTCAGGGTGGTCAGAGGGGAGGGGAGGGGAGGGCAGGGGAGGAGGTGACTGCCCTGCAGAGGCAGGACTGGGAACTGGACTGGTGCAGCAGCAGCCTGACTGGGGAGCGGGAGGTGGCACTGGATTGTCCCCGGGATTATGTGACAGCGGCGCAGCCCCAGCAGGGACTGGCGGGCGGCACGGGCCCTGTCCATGCCTTTCCCACCCTGGGAGCGGGTCGCTGAATCTCGAAGCCCCACCTGGTGGAGACGGAGGTGGCAGGTTGGGGCCCCCGTCCCCGTCCAGGTGTGACTTCCAGGCCGACGTGACCCAGGATGGAGGTCCCATCGGGCCCATCTCCGTGTCCCTGGCACCAGGGCCCTGAGAGTTGGTTCTGGACCCGGGGGCGGGGGTCTCTACAGGAGGGAGGGGGACACAGAGCAGAGATCAGGGGAGGGAGCTGAACTCCCAGAAACGCCCGGTCATCTTGCCGGTCAGCGGCGTCCAGCGTGCTCTCTGCGTCTGGTTTGGTGGCTGAGCGCCAGCTCACCTGTGGGCCGGGGCCCTCTGGGAGCGGGAAGGGCTTCCTGTGAAGCCAGTTCCTGGGATTCGTACACAAAGGTGTTGTTCAATTTCTAATATAATAATACAGATTAGCCACCCAGTCGAGTTCATGTAACGGACAATCACAGGTCCTGGGCTGCCGGTCCTGCCTGAGCCAATTCAGCAGAGACAGGCTGGGATCATGGGTGAGCGTTTACTCCGGTCCTGCCGGCAGCGTGGAGAGCAACCGTCACCACATACCTGTGCTGTCCCCCCGTAAGCCGGCTGCTTACATTGACTCTGGCTCCTGAATAAACCGCTTTCCTTGGGTGGAAGGACAGAGGTGACAGGGGAAGTAGCCAAAGGGCGAGCCAAATGGCTGCTCACAGGTCATGGGGGCTGGAGACCTGCACAGGCTGCGGGTGGCAAGGGCTGGGAGTCTGCAAAGGGCTGGGGGTCTGCAAAGGGCTGGGGGTCTGCAAAGGGCTGCAGGTGGCAAGGGCTGGGGGTCTCCAAAGGGCTGGGGGTCTGCAAAGGGCCTGGGGTCTGGCTTCTGGAACAAGGTTGCTACCTTCCCAGGATCACAGGCAGCTCCCGGTGGGGGGGGAGGGCCCGTTTCCAGGTGAGCCCCCGGGTCCCACACGCACCTCCCCGCCAGGTGGGAAGGTGCCTCTGTAATCAGTGCAGAGCCAACACGGTGAGCGGAGCAGGAGCCATATTTCGTACAGTGACAGCGGGTCCCCACCTTCTCGCTCTGCCCCGTCATTCTCGGGAGCGGGAGGTGGTGACAGGCGAGATGGACATGCCAGCTTCCTTTGCACACGGGACAGGCTGAGAGGAGGGTGTCCCCCGGGGGCTCAGAACTCAGGACTAAGGCCCTGCTCCTGGCCGGGTGGGACGCAGGCCTCCCGGGCGAGGGAGGTGACCGAGCCTTGAACACGGCTCTTGCCCGTGACCTGCCTGCACGTGGACCTGCCTCACCCCCTGGCTCCCCCGAGGCAGGCCGGTCGGAGACAGACGTTCCCAGGATCATATTCTAGCGCCAAGGAAGCTATGTCAGCTAGTCACCGCCCCCCATTCCCTTATCG